ATGGGGTGGAGTCTGGGTGGAATTTCCGCTTGTGTAGTTTTCTCAGATTCGTTGTGCCACCATGTCGAGTTTTAGCTTCCTCTTGCCATCATAGCTCTCCCCTTCCTGGTGTTAGAAGAGACACAGTGCATTCTGGGAAGGTGAGCATACTAAATTGACAGGTAAAGGGACAAAGTTGCACAGCAGGACTCACAGAAATTTCAGCTCACTTATTCCTCCATAATCTCCCTGCCAACTTCCCACACATCACTAAAATATACATATATGTATTTATATATGTATATATATATGTATATATATATATGGCTTGAACACTGAAGAAGATAATTTATCAGCTTTGTAAATAGTTCAAGGAGGAGCCAAGTGTGGGCTTAAGGGGTGGAGGAAGTGCCCGGTTTTAGCACAGTATTTCAGGTCTTCCCTCCATCAGAGAGATGGAGAAGATAAAAATGTGCAATAGCCAGTGGAAGGGGTAAGAAGTAAGAGAAAATTGTGTAGTGTGGAAAGGGTAGAGTGAGGCAAAGCTGACTTCCGCCAGCAAATTGTCGCTGCTTTTGGAGACAGAATGGAGCATCAGTTACCTACAAGGCAGCTATAGGTCAGGTACCAGAATCTGCAGGTTTCCAATGTGTTTTCAAATGTTCTCATTAGAGACTTTCCATTGAATTAGTTTCTTGATCACACACTGAGTCCCCGAAAGAATCCTGTTCTTATGTGCAGCAATAAGAACCATGACCCAAGTGAGGTATTAAATGAGGAAAAAAAGGCTCAAGAAGTCTCTCTTTCTTCTGACCCCAGACTATATCAGTAAGAATATAAGAATTGCAACCCCAGGGACCCAGAAGAACAAATCCAGAGCTCTGCTCCCTGATGGTTCTCAATACACCTTGAGCTGTAACTTCTGGGATACCATTGTTTGCATTTAACTTTTGCGGTCCTCTTGGGAAAGAGAAAGCATCATGAATGCATTATAGAGTTGCTTAACTGGATAGCTCCAATTGCATTAATGCTACACTAGTGAGACTTGTGGAGTATTCATTGTTCCTCTAGCTGGATCTATTCTAAGTGTTTGTCTCAGCATAAGATATGAATTTAAAACAAAAGCACAGTTATAAGTGCAAGAATAGGAGCAGGACATACTTATCTAAAGAGATTAAACAGATGGTGCACATTCAGAGAAGAGAGTGTAAGAGAAATGCAACTCACCCGTTCCGTGGCTTTGTGTATTGGGTAAGGGGTGGTTCTCTAGTTGAATATATAAACAAGGATGAGTTTCAGGGTATGTATGTGTGAAACATGGAGGGGGAATAAGGGAGAGAGAAGAATAATGGAGAGAGAAATGAAGAGAGGGAGGAGAACTCTGCAAAGAACCTGGAGCATTTCTCTGCGAAGGTCAGTAAGCATGTGTTCATCATGGTATCCTACTTTGTGATGGAGGAAGCTCAAGTGCATCATGGGAAAGTGGGTGTACTGAATAGGCTTAGAATGATTTTGTCCTATTTTGTTCAGATAATGCAGAAGTAAGGTGCAGATACTGCTAGAAACCTCTCAGCTTTTTGTTCACTGACTCCCTGCCCAGGTCGTATCAAAATGATGATCTTGTCTACCACACCTGATCCTATCTGTTAGTACTGTTGAGTTGTTCTCTTTCACCACCTCTTGCATCTCATAAATCATAGCAAGCACGGTGTTCCACTATTTGTTGATGAGATCATCATTAGTCACAAGCTTCAAAGGTCATCAAAGGATAATTTGTTATTTAATTAACGTGGATAAAAGGGTTTCAATTATAGTGTAAGCATTGTCTTACATTGTGATTTTCCTAGCAGTATTTTGTTATGCAAAGCTTCATTTTGTAATCACAAAAATCTTAACAACGAAGTAGGGTAGTCAAGCTATCCTGCCTTTATAGATGAGAAAACTAGACCTCGTGATTGTTAAAGGGTCGTTGACGAATTTACCTAGAGAATAAAAGGAAAAGGGGACAGGATCCTGAAATCCTGTCCCTGGGCCTCAAGTACAAGATTCCACACAAGTGTAGGTGGGTGTGAAGGTGCTTTAAGCTTTGGACAACAGATTTAATTAAACTCACAAAGGCATTGAGTATAAATTTATCAAAGGAGGTTGGAAGCTGGCCTCTGGAAAGCACTCAGCTCAGAGCTTCCCCGATGACTGGGCACTCCGACCACGGGGTGGCTGACACAAGGGACACGTGTTTCTCAGGCTGCTGCCTTCTCCCTGCACTTGTCGTGGGTTGGTCTTTAATCTCATACAGGTAAGTAAGCTCTCATTGGGCTAGCTGCTTTCTTTTTTTTTTTTTTCTTTAAGATTTATTTTATTTTTATTGGAAAGGCGTAATACAGAGAGGAGAGACAGAGAGGAAGATCTTCCGTCCGATGATTCACTCCCCAAGTGAGCGCAACGGTCGATGCTATGCCGATCCGAAGCCAGGAGCCTCTTCCGGGTCTCCCACGTGGGTGCAGGGTCCCAAAGCTTTGGGCCGTCCTCGACTGCTTTCCTGGGCCACAGGCAGGGAGCTGGATGGGAAGCAGGGCTGCGGGGATTAGAATCGGCACCCATATGGGATCCCGGGCATGCAAGTTGAGGACCTTAACCACTGCGCCACCGCGCCGGTCCCGCTAGCTGCCTTCTAAGCTGGCACTTTAAACCAGATAAACAGGCAATTTTGATTGAAAGAATAAAACAGTTTTAGCTTTTGTTTTTCAACTTTTCTGCATTTTCCTTTTTCTTGATGTTTCCTTTGGAACCTGGTCATTTCCCTCCCTCAGTAGGAAGGGGGAAAAATTAATCAAGTTTTTATGATGATGACAATCTTGTCTGCATGTGAACTGTCATAGAATGCTAAGGTTTTTTGTGTCCAAATAATGATTCTCCTGCTTACAGAGCCCATGGATTTCAACAACTCATCTACATTTAAGAAGCAGCTTAGGAAAAGAGGTTGGAGAAAATAATAACTTCATTATCATCAACAAGCAGTATTTTCTAAAGGAGATTCATTCTATTCTTTGCTATTGCCTTCAAAGTAAAACACAAATTTGATTTCATAGTTTAGCCTTTGCATTTCGCTGGCAGGCTCATATAAACCCAGAGAAATCAATGACTCAAATACAACAGAAACTTAGCTTTTGTCTCAAGTAAGCAGTCTACAGGCTTTTTACACAAGGGGAAGATGGAGCCCTATTTGTCAGGGACGTGACCAAGCTGAAGATCTGCCTTCTTCAGTGTCAGCCTTCTTGGGTTCCCCTAAGAGAAAAGTGAGGCTATAAGCCAGCAAAGATACATACTTAAAGGGACAGGTCAAAGAAGAAAGATGATGCAGTGTGAGAAGCCAGAGTCCGACACAGAGCAGGATGCCCACTGGGGGATGACGTTTTCTCAGCTTACCCACACAGGTCGTCAGTTCCAGGCAGAACCCCTCTTGCTGTGTTATTTCAGCATTTCCCAGTTTCCCATTGCTATTAAACATTCCCAGAATGGTAGGGGGCAGCCACCATAGCATTCCCTAAACTGGATCCACCTGCCTGAGGCACAGTAAGCCAGTCATTGACACTGCAGTGCTGGAAAAAATCAGGTGTTTATTACAAGTGCAAAGGGAAGGAACCAAGCATCTGGGGCTTGATTCCCATGGTCCCTGAATGTGTAGGGGGTAAAGGCTAAATTCTGTGAATCTGGATTAAAAGCTGGGGAAGACCACTGCATGATCAGCTCGTGTGTGGGTCCCCTATTGGTCTCCAGTTAGTTCCCAGCACTGGTGGATTGCTTCTGATGATTCAGTGACAGGTGAGCGGCTCTGGACATAGGTCAGTCTGGCCACAATCAACAGTGTCCTGGCTAGTCATATGGGAGACCCAGATGGAGTTAAGGCCCCTGAGGTCAGTCTAGCTTGGCTCCTGCTGTTTGGGGTCTTTGGAAGGCGCGCCTGCAAATGAAAGATCTCTGTCTAGATCTCTTTGACTTTCAGATAAAAGTAAATAAATTTATCAATAAAGGTTAACATAAAGATGAGCTTGAGAGAGAGCTATCATTGAAGAGAGAAGAGAAAGGGAAACAGCGGTAGGAAGACAACCACTCCACTAATACAATGAGAACTAAGCAGAAACAAGACGTATGGGATGATGGATGGAGAGACGCAGAGATGAGATACATGATGAGAGCTATGGAGAGAGTTAAAGAACAGTGGTGACAGGGACGGGGCAGTAGTATGAAAGGGAGAGAACAGATGGAGAAACCACGGGATCTGGGATGAGCACGAGACCAAAGCACCTGGGAGTGATCACAACAGCCAGGAGTTGTCAGTCAGGTGTGTCTCGGTGTCACAGCTGCTCCTGCGACTCACCTGGATTACAAAGAACCTCACTCCAGTTCCAAACCCAACACTCCCAAAGCCTCATCCTTTTTTTTTTAAGATTTATTTATTTTTATTGGAAAGTCAGATATACAGAGAGGAGGACAAACAGAGAGGAAGATCTTCCGTCCGTTGATTCACTGCAGAAGTGGCCTCAACGGCTGGAGTTGCACTGCTCTGAAGCCAGGAACCTGGAGCTTTTTCTGGGTCTCCCACATGGGTGCAGCATCCCAAGGCATTGGATTGTCCTCGACTGCTTTCCCAGGCCACAGGCAGGGAGCTGGGAAGTGGCGCTGCCAGGATTAGAACTGGCATCCTTATGGGATCTTGACGCATTCAAGGGAAGGACTTTAGCCACTAGGCTACTGCCCCAAAACCTCATCTTTCCCCTAAAGCCAGGCTGTGTTCCTCCAGGGCTCTTTCTTTAAAATGTGCACTATCCGTTTCTTCAAGTTCAAATCCTCTAAATTATTCACAAAGCGGGGAGGCGGGTAGAAACAGTGGGGAACATAGAGAGGAAAGGGATTCCTTCTTGATGAGGAATGGAGAGGAAGGGGCCCCCAATGTTGGGGGGTAGAAAGGATCTGTGGGGAGACGGGTCAAAAATGAAACTTCTTTACATGTCACAATTTAGGAGCAGAGCAGTATTTGCATCAACCTGAACATGGGAATTGCCCCTGTGTCATGTGCTTCTCAAAGGGAGGCCAAGAAGCACAGACTGGGAGTAACCAAGCTTCTGACACGACAAGTAAGGGAAAGCTGCGTGAGGGTGCTGGGGTGACTGGGACTTAGCACGTACCACAGACCCTGCAGTGGCACGTGGCAGGAGGTGGGGTTCAAGGAGTACATCAGGCAGCCTTGGGCTCTCCATCAGGAATCTGCAAGTGAGGGTGTGGGGACTCTGACACCAGAGCTGCTGCTTCTCACTGTGCCTGCCTGTGAGCATCCTGTAATAAGGAGCCAGACTCTTTTCCCCTCTATCTGCATAACCTGACTCTTTGAGAACTGCGTGGAAGCAAGAGATTGTTGTGAAGTCGTGTTTAGTGGGACACAGCCTGTTGGTTAAGTATGGACAGTGTGGTAGAAATGTCCTGGTAAAACAGGCAGTATCTAATTTGCTGTATCAACCGCAATACTAAAGAATGGATTTCTGAGATGACCTCTGCCCTTGTCTGTGAATCAGTAAGCTGAATATTCTGTTGCTGCTAGATAACGGGTCACTTTGTCACAACCCTCACTGCCAGCAGATAAAAGCCTCTTAAACTCAATGTACCGTTTTGAAGAGGGCCCCCTTCTCCCATTAACAAGAAGCTGGATCGGAAGCAGAGTCGCTGATATGAAATGTGGGATGCCAAGCTGCAACGTAACCCTCTGCTCTGCATCACCTGCCCCTAATAACACTTAATGAGTACATCTGTGACACACACTGAACAAGGCGGATGTCCTTGTGAAGAAAGAATTTTTAAAATAGCCCCGAATCTGCTGCATGCTGGCCCCTACCGTCACTGTGGTAATACAGGTCTAGTTTAAACTTGCTTGTCCATGTTTCATTGTTGGCTGTCAGGTTTTCTATTTTAGGGTAAAGACCTGTGCTGTTCAGATGCATGCTCCATTTTGCAGAGTGACTCCAGAAACTTGTTTCTTGAAGTACCTTTAACTATTTCTTCAATTATTTTTATTTTCTTCAGGAATTCCAATGACTGGTTCACTGCCTTCTCTTGACTATTTTCTTTGTCGTTTTTAATTATTCTTCTTCATTTCCTTTTTGCTTTTCCTTCTATAGTCTGTGTCCTGCACTTCAATTTCTCGAGTTTCTAATCTCTATTATCCCTATAAATTTGTCTTTATTTCTCTGATGATTTTTCTTCTACCTACATCTTAAGTTCTGACTGTTATAAAATTCTGTAGGTATTCAAGCCAGGCTGCTGAATTCCAGGAATCAAAATGCACCAGTGATTTCTGAGGGTTGCAGTGGCCTGACTGCCTTGACATGCCCCTGCTTCTAATGTTAGCTTTCACCTGACTTCAGCTGCTTTCCATATTTTCTCTATTGTAAATGGATAATAAAGCCCCATGTGGATATGTAAAAGCACAGTGTACATTTTGGCTGTGTCTAAGTGTACAATGTTTTGTGGAAATTATTATTTTCCCATGATAATAACTGCCAACATGGTATGTTAATGACTGGGGAATGAAGATTTAAAAATAAAATAGCTGAAGGCTACTGATGTAAAGAACTTGAAAATCTGCTTCTCTTATAATCTGAAAGATTATTATTATTATTTTTTTTTTCTGTTTTAAGGACAAAGGAGAAGATGCAACAATAAACAAAGAAACGTCCAAGGTGCTAAAAAAGGTACTGGGGCGACAGGGGAGCAGGGATAGGCACAGCAAGGCACTCGGGTTGGGGTGGGAGCAGGGATAGGCACAGCGGGGGCACTGGGTTGTGGAGGGTGGTCCTTGGCTCTCTCCATGGTGCTGATCTTTCTGCCAGATGCTGTTGTCTTTGCTGCAGCCCACAGATTTCCTGTGTGCCATGATAGCTTCACAGCTGCTGGATTATTCAGAGTATAAGCTATGTCATTACAACAAATAGTATCCAAAACAAGCAGTTTCAACACAAATACATTAGTTGTCATCTAGAATTCCAGAAGTGGTAGGGAGAATCTGCCCTCCTTGATAGGTTTCAATCTCCAGGCCCACAAAGGCCACTCTGACTGTCATTGTCTCCCATCGAGAGGGAATGGAAAAAATGAAGAAGAGAGTAAGCCTTTCATTTCCTTGATGAAAATCTGATCACATCTTTTTGGCCAAAACTTAGTCAAAGCTAGCTTCAAGTAAGTAAGGCTAAGAAATATGATCTCTGGCCAGGCACTGAAGGATCAAGCTGTGATTCTGTGCCCATGAGAAGAAGTGATTGTGTGTGACCAACACCACTCTGTCCACCTGCCTTACGTATTTGCATTCAAATGGCTGATTCCCTGAACTAACAAGGAAAACTGAATTGGCTCAAACCCAACCATCTTTGATAAGAACAGGATTTGGAACTGAGGGTGCAGACCAGAGCTGTGGTAAAGGACATGCCAACACTGATTTGGAAACGAAGAAATAGAATAAAACATTGGAGAGACTGTGTGTTGTAACAATGAATGCAGAAAAGAGGAGACAGAACAAACACAGACAGACAAAATCTGAACAACTAAATACAAGCCAAAGCATTAGTACAAGATCAGTTCCAATCCTGGGAAACTCATGACTCCTTAAACTCAGTTAAGTCAGAGCATACCCAAAACTGGATTTACACATTGAGGCATGGGTGTGTGAATGATGTAGGATGTTCCATTCTGTGCACCACAAAGGGAAGTTGGACATTTCTATTGCATTTCTATTTTCAGAATTACTCTGTCAAGTGAACCAATTTCATGTATTCCACAGCACAGATTTAGTAGCATAGTGACTGCCCACCCAACACTCCCTCCTGGCCACATTCCCCACACACCCTCCTCCTTCCTCATTTCTTCTATAGAAATGTTTACAATGACAGGATTTCAGTTCATTTCACAATCACAGGCTGATCACGGCATTGGATGAAGCATTCAACAAAAGCAAGTAGAAAAAGAAAGCAATGTACAGGGCATAGACAAGGACTGTAAACAATAATCAAACCTCAACATGTCAGTTTTGCTCCTATAGATTACATTTGTTTGTATTTTGTGCATTAGCTACCATAGATGAGGAACGCGCACAATATTTGTGTTTCAGGGAACTGGCTTATTTCATTAAGCATAGTGGTTTCCAGTTGCATCCATTTTGTTGCAAAAGACAGGATTTCATCATTTTTTATGGCTGACTAGTGCTTCATACTATATGATTACCACATTTTCTTTATCTATCAATTGGTAGGCATCCAGGTTGTTTCATATCTCAGGGCCACAATAAGCATGGAAGTACAAACAACTTTCATATGCTGATAAACTCCCAGGAGTGGAATGGCTCGATTGGATGGTAGATCTGTTTTCAGAAACTCCATGCTGTCTTCCATAATGGCTGTACTAGTTTACATTCTGCCAACATGCTACCCAGCATTTATTCTTTTTAAATTGTTGAATGTGAGGTGAAACCTCATTGTAGTTTTTATTTGCATTTCCCTGATGGCTAGTGTTCCTTAGATTTTTTTCATTTGTTTACTTACCATTTTTATTTTAACTATTGAGAACCATCTTTTCTTCTCATATTCTTTGTCCATTTATTAACTGGATTGTTTTGTTATTATACAGTCTGATGCTATTAGGTCATAGGCTTAGATTTTTGATCCATTTTGAGTTGTTTTTTGCATGAAGGGTAAGGTACGTGTCTTCTATCATACTTCCGCACGCATAGATCCAGTTGTCACGGCAGCATTCATCGACTAGACTGTCTGTTCTGCAGAGATTAACTTTAGCTTATTTGCCAAAGATTTGTTGGCTGGAGATGCGTGGGTCAATTTCAGGGGTTTATATTCTATTCTCTTGGTGCCAGTAACAGGCTGTTTTGATTTCTAAGCTTCAGTTTATTAACTGTCCCGTACTATGCCCTGAATTCTGGTATTGCTATCCTTCTGGCTTTTTTGTGTGTTTATTTAAGAATGCAAAAGTTACTTGGGGTTTATTTTGTTTTGACATAAATTTTGGCAAAATTTTTCTAAATATGAAAACAATGTCCTCGATATTTTGATTGAGATCACATTAAATCTATAAATTGCTTTGATAGTATGGACATTTTGATGATATTAAGTCTTTAAAACCATGAATATGGAAGATTTTTTCCATTTTTATGTGTCGTCTTCCACTTTTTCTTTAATGTTTTGTAGTTTTCATTCTAGAGTTCTTTCAAATCCTTGTTTGAATTTATTCTAAGATATTTAAATTTTGTAGCTATTGTGAGTGGGACTGGTCTTACAAGTTCTTTCTCAGCCATTGCATTGTGTATACGAAGGTTATTGATTTTTGTGTGTTGGCTTTACACCCTATCATTTCGCCCAGTTCCCTCATGAGCTCCAGCAGCCTCTTAGTAGAGTCATTTGGTTCTTCTACATACAGAATCATGCCATCCGTGAGCAGGGATAGCTTGAGCTTTTCTTTTCCAATTTGTGTTCCTTTGGCTTCCTTTTCTTGCTTTATGACTCTAACTAAAATTTCTGGGACTCTAATGAAAGCAACAGTGGAAATGGGCATTCTTGTCAGGTTCCAGATCTTAGTAGAAATGCTTACAGTTTTTCCCCATGAATGTGGTGCTCACTGTGGATTTGTCACATGTTCTCTTGATTGTGTTATGGCATGTTCTTCTATATCCAATTTGCTTATGATTTTTTATCATGAAAAGATGTCATATTTTATCAAAGCTTTCTCTGCATCTTTTAAGATAATCAAGTGATTTCTATGCTTCAGTTTATTCATGCTATGTGTCACATTTCTGGATGTGCATTTGTTAAACAGCCCTTATTACCAAGGATAAATCTCACTTGGCATGAATGAATCACTTTTCTAATACGCAGTGGAGTTGGATTAGCCAGTAATTTTGTTGAGGATTTCTCTATCTTTGTTTATTAGGAATATTGATATGTCGTGTTGTCATTTACATTTGTTTCCAGGAATTTTTAAAAAGAATATTTTTTCTTTTGATTTCTTCTATGATCGACTGTTCATTCAGTGGATTCCTGTGCAAACATATCAGTTTCTGTGTGTTTGCATATTTCCTAGAGTTTGCTAGGTTGTTGCTTTTCACCTTCATTCTATTGTGGTCAGAAAAGTTGCATGGTATGATTTCAATGTTTTGAATTTGCTGAGAATGATTTATGGCCTCAAATACAGTCTTTCCTTAAAAAAAAAAATCTCACAGAGTGATGAAAGAATGTGTTCTGCAATGGTGGGGTGAGATGTTCTGTAGACAACGACCAGGTTCATTTAGTCCACAGTGTAGATGAACTCTGTGTGTTTTGTTTGCTTGTTGCTTGCTGATTTTCTGTCTAGTTGATCTGTCCATTGATGAAAGTGGGGTGATGAAGTTCCAATTATTATTATGTAATGATGTCTCCCTTTAGATACACTAACATTTGTTTTAAATAGCCAGCTTTTCACTGACTTTTTCTCCTTCACATTCTGTAATGATGACTATTTTTCCTGGTTTCTATGTGCAGCAGGTTCTTAAGAACCATTTGTAAGGCTAGACAAGTGGTAACAAATTCTCTCCATTTTCTGTTTTTGAAACTCTTTATTTCACCTTGCTTTGCTGGGCACAGTATTCCGGATTGAAACTTTCTTTTAGGACCTGGCCTGTGTGTCTCCATTCTCTCCTAAACTGAAGGGTTTCTTAGAGAAACCAGCTGTTAGTCTGACTGAGAAGCTCCTGAAGGTGATCTGGCATTTCTCTCATGAACATTTTAGAATCTTTTCTTCATGTTTTACTGTTGCGTGTTTGACTATAATGTGTCATGGTGAAGATCTTTTCTGATCATATCTAATACAGAGAGTTCTGTGTGCGTCTTGAACTTTATTATCATTTTTTCTCCTCCAAATTAGGGAAGTTTTCTGTCATGATCTCACTTAATAAACATTCTGTTCATTTCACTCTTTCCACACTTTCAGGAACTCCTAAGATACATAAGTTTGGTCATTTGTTAATATCCCACAGAGCTCAAAGACTATCTTTAGTGTTTCTCTTTTTTTTTGTTTTTGTTGTTGTTGTTGTTGGTTTTTTGTCTGACTGAGATATTTCCAAGGATTTGTCTTCTTGCTAGGATATTCTTCCTCCTGCCCCACCAAGTCTGTTGTTAAGATTTTTTTCTGTGTTTCCCATTTGACAGATTGAATTATTCATTTCAAACAGCTAAGTTTAATTTCTTCTCAATATTTATCTCAGAAAAAATAACCATATCATACATTAATTCCTCTGTGTTCGTTTCCCTGTGTTTCTGTGTAATCTTATGATCATTCTTTTTCAGACATTTCATCTATCTCTTCATCATCGTATTTTAATATTGAAGTGCTATGTTTCTTTTGGGGAATCATTATCTTTTCCTTGTGCATGTTGTTTGCATTTCTGCTTTTATTTTTAGGCATGAAACACTTGTTGGTTTCTCCCCTCTGGTGACTTGTATCTTGGCACTGTGCCTCTCTGGCTGGAGTTTCTACTCCTTCAGTAAATATCCAGAGGTGTGTGCTAGGTAGGACCAAGGAGCTCTGAAGCACAAGGGTGGGACAGGAGTCCACAATGACACCTAAGTTGGGCATGATAGATCTTTATGAACAGCAGGGGGAGATATGACCACATTGGCTGGAGTAAGCCCACTGTGACCACAGCATGACCACTGTGAGCCCC